TGAATAAGAAGGAAAGGGAAGGAAGAGTAAGTAGTGGGAGAAAACGAGAGCTGCCACAGAGAATAACACAATATATACATACATGAATAAAGCAGCAGGGAAAGGTGGAGGAAGGAGAGAAGGACAGAGGGAGGGAAGGTAAATAAGGTAGGGAGTAAATAAAAAAGTAGGGAAGCAAGGAAGTGAATAAGAAGGAAAGGGAAGGAAGAGTATGAAGAAGGAGAAAACGAAGGAAGAAGGGAAGGAAGCAAAAAAACAAAAGAAGAAGAGAAATGAGCAAGTAAGTAGAGAAGGCAGGAGTAAATGCAAATGCAACATAAAGGAGGGAAGGAAGTAAGGAAGGAAACATGACAGAAGCAAGCAAGGAAGTAAATAAAAGCGAGCAAAGGAGAGAAAGGAATGAAGAAAGGAAATAAGAGGGGAGGAAGGAGAGGAAGCAGGAAAGAAAAATAGAAAATGCTGGGAGTAAATAAGAACGTAAAGGGAAGGAAGTAAAGAAGGAAACATGAAGGAAGTCAATAAAAAGGCAAGGAAAGGGGGAAGGAAGTTAGGGAAATTAAATAGGGAAAGTAAATAACGATGTAAGATAGGAAGCATGAATGGAAAAGGGAAAGAAGAAATCTAGCAAGAAAGGCAGTAAATAAGAACGTAAGATAAAAGAGGGCAGGAAGTAAAGAAGGAAACATGAATGAAGCCAGGGGGAATAAATGAAAAAGTAAAGGAGGAAAGAAAGGAAGGAAGGAAGAAGGAAAGGAAGTAGGAAGGAAGAAATGAAGGAAAGATCGAAAGGAAAGAGATGGTAAATAAGGGAAAAACATTAAGGAAGTAAACAAGGAAGCGTGAATGAGAGAAAGAGAGAGGGAAAAGATGCCAGTAAGATGTACCAGATGGAAACGAGGAAGTAAATAAGAAAGGAAGAAGACTAGCATGAACAGTCTCCTCTTCCTCTGAAAGAGGGAAATCAGGATGGAAGAGAGCAGATAAGGAAGTGAAGGAAGGAAACATGAAGGAAGAAAGAAAGGAAGCCGGCAAGGAAAGAAGGTAGGTAATTACATCAACTAATATTTTAAGCCAAGAAAAACAAACATAAACGTCTTAAATTCCCCCTGTAGCTAAAAATGTTATCCTTTAAAACTCATCTTTGATCATCAAAATTACATATTTAAATGCTTTTTCTTGTGAAAATAATTTTCTCCTGCTTTAAAATAGCTTGAATGTAACTCTACACCCTTGCCTCATTTACTATACGAGGATCTATGAATATGCAAATTAGCCCCGCCTCCACTCAGTCACACAGCAGCCAGCGCCTCCTGATCCACTAAATGAACTGAAGTAAACGCGATACAGTGGCAATGGCAAGAGGAAATATTGGTTTAATTAAGCCATATGTGTTTGAACCAGAAAGGAGCTGGTATGCTCAACGTAAGCAAGGAGACTGATGGCTAGCTTCGTGAGGTAACACTATCTGTTTGCGCTGGTTCGTACGCGGATAATGACTGATAAAACAGTTTTTACTAGCGGACGACTAACAGTGGATACTGTAACATTCGCTAAAGTTACTTACTTGACGATGTTGTGTCCTCAAAATGCCTTGAAGACTCAAATACAGCCAAGTTTGTGATTCCCAATCGCGCCGGCGATCATGCGCGCGTGACGTGCGGATGTCAAAGCGGGGAAAGGCTACTTTCACACTGCTGCCGCGGGTTATTCTTCAAGCTAGCGGTTCTAGATACAAATAAATAAGCGCTAACAGCACGTGACATCGTGAAAATAGGGGGAAATATTAACAGTTAGCGAAACAGCTAGAGGAAAAAACATTGTTACCGGATTAACCTGGCTGCCTTCTCACTAGACCCTCTGCAGCACAGTTAATGATATGCTGAGGATAGGATCCCTTGACGCCATTGGTTATTGAGTTTTGTGACGTAGCAAAAAAAAAGGCTGTTTCAAACCGCGTTTCTGTGACTGCCTCTGGGAAACTACAGTTTTAAGGAGAAAATACTCAGCAGTGGTGTTGATAAATGGATCGACACATGGTTTGTCTAAAAGTATATTAACACCACATAGACAAATAAACAACATAAAACACTTGATTTTCACCACAGGGGGACTTTAACCATACTCAGATTCTGCAAAAGATATCTTGCAATTTCAGAGTGATTTTTTTTTTTACTAATTTGGCATTTAAAGCAAATGGTGATGTTTGTCAAAACAGGAAATTCTGAAAGTATGCCGTGTAAAGCAGGCTAAACGGTTTCCTGAATGAATTCGTCTAATAGTACTGCTATAAATGAAAGCTTCCACTCGTCATGAACATTAGTGTTTGTTTATTGATGTGGTAAAGAGGTTTTGCTCACATATTCAAAGCGGTCTTTGCAGAGCTGCACCATTAGATGAAGGAAGATGAGCACGGAGAACCACAGACACCACAGCACCACCTCCTCCACCCGCTGCACGTTCAGCACGCCGAAGATGAAGATGAACTTGTAGAAGACGAAGTTCCAGAACTTATCTTTCAGATGCTGTGAGACAGAGAAGAGCGCAAGAGCAGATTGACATCAACACATCAGTGCATGCAATATACCCTTTACATGTTGAACACCTTCAAATTTACAGGAACGTACAAAAGTTTAAATGTTTTTGAAAGAAGTGTCCTCTGCTCACCAAGGCTGCATTTATTTGATCAAAAATACAGTAAAAACATTCAAATGGTGAAATATCATTACAATTTAAAAGAGATGAGTTCTATGTGAATATCTGTTAAACTGTAATTTATTTTTGTGATCAAAGCTGAATTTTCAGCATCATTACTCCAGTCTTCAGTGTCACATGATCTTCAGAAATCAGTATAATATGCTGATTTGCTGCTCGAGAAACATTTATTATTTTTGTCAGTGTTGAAAACTGTTGCGCTGTGTGGTATTTTTGTGGAAACCATAATATATATATATATATTCTAGGAGTCCATGAAGAATGTCACAAAATGTATTTGATATTCAGTAAACATTCATAAATAAAAAGACATTTCAAAGGACTAAGCAACGGTAAAATACATATAGGAATTTTGTACTATCACTTTTGACCAACTTAATGCAACCTCGCCCAATAAAAGTATTCATTTCTTTAAAAAAAATATTTTGATTATTTTTTTGTCAGTATTTATTTATTTATTTTTAGATTATAGTCTTCGGTCAGTAACTACATCATTGATTTGAACGGTTATCTTCCCCCTTTCAATTTCAAAATCTAGCAACAGACAATATATGAATAATAAACGTCTGTTTTATTATGTAAATCCTGGCATTATATTAGTTCAAATTGGCATTTCCATCGGCCACTAAAAACATATCCAACCATTAAAAACAACAAATTCAATTTAAAAAAAAACAGACTGACTATATGTCTCTATATGGAACTGACAAAGTAATTGAGGATGTTGTGATGTTATTATTATTATTATATATATATATGTTTTCTATTTATTTATTATTTAAACATGTTGCAGCAGAGACAGACTGCATTTAAAGTCGGATGCTTTACTGTCATTTGCAACAGTGTTCTCCTCATACACGAGTCACGACTCCTACCTGCTTCTCGCTGACTCTCAGCGGTCCAAACACCATGCACTGGATCACTTTAGCTATCAGCATGAGGATGCAGCACGCCGTGTTCACCATCACCTGCGGGGACATGACAGCTCCTTTAAAGAAAGTCACAGACCAAGCCTTGTGGTGTCAGAAATCTACAGCACGGGAGTCTCACGCACCCAGACGAAGAGACTGTCCGTGATGAGGTAGAGCAGCACATTAGTGGCCACACTCCCGGAGATGTCCAGCTTGATCTCCTCCTCGGGCGTGCTGTGGGAGTCCTCTGGCAGTGCAGAGGAGTAGTCTCTGACTGTGCTGTAGGCACTTAACATGCTCCCGGCCAGCAGAACTGTGCTCAGGGCTGTGTATGTCTGCAGACTGGGCCAGGGGAAGCGCTCCAGAAACAGCAGAGGCATCCTGACAGCTTCTCAGCTTCTCAGCTTCCACTTTATCGGGGTAACTGGATCTTCTGGATGCTGAATCTGCTCTACCAGTCCCAGTGCAGGAGAAACCAGGCCACAGGTGTCCTTTTAGAGATGACAACAAGTCCTTGGCAATCAAAGTTAAACTCAAACAAATCCTAGGATCGAAGAGCCCAGACAGAAAGGCTGGTTATGTAAATACAGGCGCTGCTCTGGAGTGTCAACACTTGCTGTAGCTACGTGTCCTTTTCTGTTTACATGCACGAGACGCTATAAACAAACGCGAAAATACAATATAGCGTTATGTATTACGTTTAAACCCCATACAGTTTGATTCATGAAACCAATGTTTACATTTAAAGAGCATATGATTAGTTTACGTTAGCATGGACGCTAATCTGCTTTAGCCACGCAATGGTTAAAACCCGACAAACAGTGTCATAGACTCATCAGACGGTCTTTAAATCCGTCCCGTGCTGCTCGACGATCAGTCTGATGTCTGCTTGGTTTAAATAAAACGGTGAAATATCATGTTTGGAGCTGTTTCTCTGGCCGTTTCTGGCACTTTCTGTCACTCATACCTGTTTCCGCTGTCGCTGACGTCACTCTGGGAACTTCCGGTGATCATGTGACATGTGTAAACACATATGAAGCGTTTAAATAGCACAAGCCATATTAGCCTTACAACACACAACCTCTGTAACCAGTCAAGGTCTGTCAAAATAGCCTAGCTGTTCTGTACTATTGTGGACAACAGGTATTGGGACTAAAATAGCACTATGGTACTTCTCACTCAAATCATGGACAATATTTCAACTAGAAGCGCATTGTAAGCTCACTATAGGGTTGAATTAAAATGTATAATTGTATGTATATATAAAAAAATGTGAAAAATATTTTATTTTTTAAATACATTTTAAAACCATTGAAACTAATGTGTGCAGGCCTATATTAAAAAAATAAATAAATCAAATTAGTCCATGAAGATGGTCACAAAATGTATTTAATGTTCAGAAAAAATTCATAAATACAAAGGCATTTCAAAGGACTAAGCAAGAGTAAAAGTTTGAGAAACATATCTACTGAAATGCCAAACAGGTAACGGTTCTTTACAGTGAACACATGGGACTGTGCTTTATATGCACAATGCTGCATATTTCCGTCTTAATAATCCTTTCTACGCTTCTTATGATTATCATACATTTCTAGAATAGATTTTACATTTACAATCAAATTATTTCAAAAGGATAATAAAAGGCATGTCTGGTTAAGGCACATATTGAATCAAAAACTATGACTGGTAAATATTTTACATTCACATTTGATTTGCTCAGTCAAAATAAAAAAAAATAAAAAAAATACAAATAATAATGATTGAATGCATCCTCTACTAGGCTGAAAATGTTATGTACATGGCATTGCTCATAGAAAATATTTTCTACATGTGCAGTAATGCAAGATGCTGAGACCAAAAACAGTTACAATGAGATGTCCAGTTCTCGGATTATCAGCTCTGTAGCAGTACTGACGTCCTATGCAAGATGCACCATTTCCATCGATCTTCTAATCGGTGGGTCATTTTGTCCAGGAGTGAAGCTACGGCACACTGTTGGCATTCCCTGAATCTGGAGTCTCAAACAAGTCTCTTACAATGATTTCACTTACTGCAAAGGAAATAAAGCAAACAAATTAATACGAGATGCTTAGTGGCAAATCTCTCTCTTTCTCTCTCTCTCACACACACACACTCTCTCTCTTTCTCTCTCTCTCACACACACACACTCACTCACTCACTCTCTCACTCACACACACACACACACTCTCTCACTCTCACACACACACACACACTCACACACACTCTCTCACACACACTCACACTCACTCACTCACTTGCACCCTCACACACACTCACTCACTCACTCTCTCACTCACACACACACACACACTCTCTCACTCTCACACACACACACACACTCACACACACTCTCTCACACACACTCACACTCACTCACTCACTTGCACCCTCACACACACTCACTCACTCACTCTCTCACTCACACACACACACACACTCTCTCACTCTCACACACACACACACACTCACACACACTCTCTCACACACACTCACACTCACTCACTCACTTGCACCCTCACACACACTCACTCACTCACTCTCTCACTCACACACACACACACACTCTCTCACTCTCACACACACACACACACTCACACACACTCTCTCACACACACTCACACTCACTCACTCACTTGCACCCTCACACACACTCACTCACTCACTCTCTCACACACACACACACACACACAAACGTATATAAAACACACATATAACATCTAACTAATTTTAATAATGCATAATTCATTTTTGCCCATCTACAGTATATTAAATCTATCTGAGGGCAGTGTTGTATATTGGGGTTTTCCTGCAGGTCTTATTCTACTTCAAAACACACTTAAGCATTGGCACAGAGGCGTTAAACCACAAAGGCTGAAACTGAGTTTTAATTAATACAGTCTGTTGTGCTGTTTTTAAGGTTTCTACTTAATAGCTCAAACCTAGCTTCAACTAGTTCCTGGAATCCCACTTGTTTCTTTGACTTTCCAATAACCAAGCAAATCTATTAATACACTTTAAACACACAAGAAGTTATTTAAAACATGACATCCATTAAGCATATGAAATGGGAAACAGAGTATACAGTGTGGGCTATAAATATATCTAAGCCAGAAAAGGTAGCTGTGCATTTGGACAAGAATCAGTTTGAGCGAAGATGAAAGACAACACACACACACACACACACACACACGCAAGCACACACACACACACACACATATACAAACGTCTGGTTTGCTATCCTTGTGGGGACTCTCCATAGGCGAAATGGTTGTTATACTGTACAGACTGAATATTTTATTGCCCTACACCAACCCTACCCCTAAACCTCCCCCTCACAGGAGACTTTCTGCATTTTTAGATTTTCAAAACACTTAATTCTGTGTGATTTATTAAGCTTGTTTACCCGTGGGGGCCTCAATTTAGGTCCCCACCGTGACACGAGTCCCCATGAGTCTGTGTGTATTCAGGTTTAAGTCCCCACCAGAATAGAAAAACAGGTACACACACACACACACACACACAC